GCAGGGAGACCAGCTGTCCTCCCAGCTCTACAGAAACAAGCAGGTAAAGGCTCCGCGCCCCCCAGCAACTTCGGTTTCTTCCCCCGAGGTTCCTGAACTTTGTATCATGCATTGCACCTTCTGGGTTGGTTTATGGCACGTCTCCCTCTCGCTGGCACAGACGTGGGAAACGGTAGAAAACCAATGTATTTGGGTGGGTTTTGTTCCTTGCTTGAAGTGTTTGTCTCCCCTATGCTGTCCCGTGAATCTGGAACAACTGCTGTGGAGTTCTCTATTCATCTCTCCCCTCTTACAGCATGTTGCACCAGCTGCCTTGGTGCTAGAGAAGAGCAGGGGCATGACCAGGATGTCCCTCAGGCTCTGATGATGCAGAACCTCATGCTGTTGACTAAAAACACACAGCATGTGTCCTCCTGAGTCCACCAGGATTAACTTAATGAGAAATAATTCTACCAGAATTACCTACCTATATGGTGGATCAACCATTTTGACCACCAGGCATTTCCTTGTTACTTTATTTTCTCTCTTCTTTCCTTTTTTTAAAATCCCATCAATAGGCAGGAGAAACTCTGAATAGTCCCAGATGAAGGAAATCCCGCTCTGATCAAATCCTTGGAGTGATATTTTGACGCAGTGAAGTCAATGGAAACATTTACTAACTTCAGCGTCCATGGAATCAAACCCTAGTTCCAGACATCAGTGTACTACTTTTTTTGGCTCTACATCAGTCATTTAAATTAGTAGTTTTCAGCCTGCGGTCAATGGATGCCCAGGGTCCTTGGCAGAAGATCCTTTGTTCTCCTAAAGGAGTCTCCTGAGCTATGATCAAGACGCAAAAGTCTCTCTGCAAATACCTGTGCTTCCCTTGAAAAAGTGTTAGGCATCTGCATACCTGTTCAGCTCTTGGGACCAGGGCTTATCTCAGCTCTGTATATGTGCTGGGACTGTCACAGTAGGGTCCACCATTGAAGGGATCCCTGAGTACCACTGTATCATAAAGAATACAGTTGCGTCTTCCTTCTGCACTGTCTCCAGGAATTGTTAGTCTGCAGCTCCTCCTTCTCCTTTTTGCCAGCAGCCAACTATAAACAGGAATGAGAGAGGTGCAAAGGGATGCTTACTGCCACTTGAGGAGATCTGGCAGCTGCTGTCATGCCCATGACAGTTTCTGGTTGTTCATGGAGCTACCTGTAATTCTTTTATGTTATTATTCCACAGTTACTTTTTCTTTCAGAGTAATCTTCTCAAACACTTGCTAAAGAATAAAGGAAGTCAGAAGTGAAAACTGAGCAGTCATGCCACTTGGATTTACAGAGACCAGAGGCTGGAGGGGGTGGGTTGAGTTCACAAAGCAAACACCCAGCTCATCAAATCCAAGCAGCCTGTACCGTGGGGCAATTGCTATTAGGTTACAGAGTCAACACCTATTCATCAATATCTCTATTCCACAGCTTCAAGATACTTTGCTTCAGAAGGAAGAGGAACTTGCTAGGTTACATGAAGAAAATAACCACCTCCGACAATACCTGAATTCTGCCCTGATTAAGTGTTTAGAAGAAAAAGCCAAGGTATTGTGTTCAAACCTGTTGCATAGACGTGTGCAGAAGAAACGGGTTGAATAGGTACCTGCCATTAAAATATGTGGAAAGTCTAAGAGCATAGACAACATGGAGTGTGAGATATATTTAACTTCATAGAGCTGCCAAATTGCTGGTCATGGGGCTAAGGTGACTGTTTCCCCCAAGAGTGACATTCTATCAGATTCTGCCTGTGGAGACAGTATAGCCCATGGCGTAATTAGTTTATAAGTTAGCTGTAAGCAATTTAAGTTTATAAGCAAGGTAAAATTATTCCATCTGAAGATTTTTTCAGTGAAAAGTTCAAATTTGAACATATATTTCTTGAATGTGTCTGTTTTGTCAATTATCCCTTTTGATAAAGATTATTTTTTTCCTTTTTTATCTTTTGGATGCTTTCTGGTTTATGTTTTGTTTTGCATTCTTCCAATGGTGTATTTTATTTATTTACATTAGAATACTAATGATCTAATTTTTTCAAATTTATTCAGTTAAGAAGTTCTGTGGTTTTTTTAAAGGTGAAATACAAAATTAAACACTTCAGATTGGATGAAACATTCTGTTACCCTAAATATGAAAGGTTTTTTTTTTAATTTTTTACTATTACAGATTTGCCCATAAAACCAAGCTATTAGTTATTTGCTCAGCTCTGTGGATTGGGCATGAGGCAAAAAGGCTTGTCAAAAATAGACTTTCCTTTTACATCCTATTCCAAGATGACAGCGTGACATGTTCCTCCTCCCAGGCCAAGACCTGTTGGGAGGTCTCCACAGCAGGGAGATGTGGCCGTCCCTCTATGTCACATGGAGGAGAGTACAGTGTGAAAACATCATGGGAAGTGACTGAGCAGTGAATTCATGACATGGTGGGAAGCTTCCTTGTTACTCCTGCCTTTCTTTGACCATCCTTGGATGCCTGAAGGGCACTTGTCCTGGGATAACGGCAAGCAAGGTGGATTAATGAGCTCAAAGCCACTCAGGTCTGCTGCTCTGAGTTCTCCCTGGCCAGGATCACACCTGCCCCAGTCTGACTTACCTTTTCATCCTCCATCTTTGTCAGGCTGCCACATTCCCCCCCATACCCCACTCACCTGCCAAATGCTGCTGGCAGCAACGGCACAGAGGAGTGCCGGACAGCAGGGCGGGAGCTCTTGTTTCATGCCGTACTGAGTGAGAATGCAATCAAAGCACAGGCCTTATTGACATTGTCAAATTCTTCTCTTTCAGGGACTGCGTTGTTGCAGAGACTGTAAAGACACAAAATAATTAGTCATATTGATATGTTTAAGCACAAGATGGAAGAAAAAGTATTTTTTGTAAGGACAGTAGTAACCATCTTGCCCATCTAAAAATCTAAGATCAGAAATATGTTGCTTCCAGGTAATTAGAAATTCAGATTTTAATCTTCTCTATTTTTTTTTTTTAATAGAAACTGCTATCCTGCCATGGCCAAAAAACCTGTAGTATTCTCAAAAGCGCCAAGAGAAGATTAAAGGAAGACCACTGCTTTGTTCCTCAAGAAACTCCCCATGTTTCCAAAGCTAGAAGGAACCTCTTTAATGAATTCACTGCCTGTGAAGAGCAAGCCAGCCCTGCTGTAGACAGCTGGGTCTTGCAGACTTTAGGATTAAAAGATGTCAACACCATTGATGAAACTTCAGCTAACTACAGTGCCCTGTCCTCAGACCTTGGAAAAGACACATACTGCCCAAGACCTGATGAAGCAATAGACTATGACAACAGCAAAGGAGCAGCATCATCATACAGCTGCAGCCACGTGCCTCCAGCTAACAGCAGTACCCATACATGCAGTGAGGACTCTCCCTTCCTTCCTCAGTTTTCTTCAGCACCATGTGTCTCCTCATCGGTACCAGGTGTTTCCTCCCTCCCAGCCTATGGGTTGCCTTATTGGACTGGTGATTTGTCACCCAACAAAACAGAAGTGGCCTTCACAACATCTCTAAGTCCTCACCGCAATGTGAGAACACACACCTTCCACCAAGGACAAGCCTTTGTGCGCAGGGATGATGATGGAGGATGGAGATTCACCTGGGTGCCCAAGCAGGCTGAATAATACGTCTACGTCAAGGGTCAGCCGTAGGGGATGTAGGAGACAGACACTCATCTTGTGCTTGAGACAGGTTCAGGCATCCAAAATGAGCCCTTCTGGGCTCTGTTAAATGCTACTCTGTCACCTACCCACTCCTTGTTCCCTCTCATGTTTTCACAGGTGTGGCTCCCGATTGCGGTTGGACAATTATCTGCCCCAGGCCAGATGTACACATGGGGTCCACTTGTCTTGAGCCTGTGCTGAGATACTCACTTTTATTTGCTTCATGGTTTTTCTATCATTAGCTATTCCTTGTTAACTGGTAGTTTCCAGGCTGGAGTGCTGGAGCTGTGATGATCACTCCCACATGCACCAAACTAGAAAGTGTTTGGGGAATACAGTTTGGAAATAGCACCTCTCTCACAGATAACAAAGGAGGCATAGGTTGAAGGCTGAGGATCAGCAGTGTCTAAGTGATTTGTCTCCCTCTTGGCTATACAAATTGCCTTGGATTAAGACCCATGGGTATTTGTTAATGTGCTACACCAGGCTGGCCTACCTACAGTCACATGCTGCTGTCATATTCTTTGATGATGCCTGAAAATAAACAGGATTTGCTTTTTTTGCCTGGAGGCTACTTAATTACAGATGATTCAGCGACTTCAGGGGATTTTCTTCTGCTGTGATTAAGAGACTAATGTGTATATTATACTGTGTTTTAAAGGTATTTTATCTGTCAGATAAAATGAGTTTAAAAAGTTTGAGCCCTGGAACAGGAACTAGAATTGGAGATGCTGTAATGACACTGCCATCACCAGCCAAGGCTCTGGCCTAATGTCTTAGTGGCAGAAATTTTCTCATCTACGGTCAATATACACTCAGAACACCTCTTTCTCCTGCAAAGGATGCATTCCCCTTGCCTGCAGCATCCCACTAGTTTTTGATGGATTTTCTTCCATGTTTACCTGCCTGATGTTGGACGCCCTTATAAAAAGGAGCCACTCCTAGCTTCATAAGCAATTTCTTTAGCTTCAGTAGGGCTTTTTCGCAACATCAAGACCTGCACTTGTGAAACTGAACGTTTTCTTTCTAGGGAACAACTTCTTGACCTCTTTGTCCTGATCTCTGAGAATACACAGATTTATCTGCAATCAACATCAGCCCAGAGTCAGGGCTATTTCTTTCTCCTTCTGTAACCCTGTGCTTCCTATGGGAAGTGTTTCTCCTGATTTGAGGTATCACTTAGGGGTTAGAGTGAGTCTTTGAGAACCACAACCTTCAACACCAACTCCTGCCTCTCCACATCTGTCAGGCTGCAGCAGGCTGAAGCTATGATCTTCACTACCTTGAGAATGCTTTAAAAAAATTCTCTGGAGAGAAGGTGCTTTAGCACTGCACAGGACTTTTAGTAATACTACTAATGATATGAAGTCAACTGACATGAAGTAAGCTCATCAGTAATGTTTTGTGTTACCTTTGTTTTCTGCTTTATAGTAGTTTGATGCCTAAGTATTGGAAATAGTTATTTGTTTTTTCTTGCTTTCAGAATGGTCCTAGTGACATTAAGGAAATGCTTTAGTAAAAATAACCATAATTGAGGGTTTCCTTCCAGTGGCTTATTTTCCTGTAGAAAAATGGATATTCCTTTATTTTTAGAGGATAAAAATATCTCCTAAATAGCTTCTTGTGCCTTAGAATTGCAGTATTCAGGATTCTCCATCAGGAGCAGTAGTGATTTCCCAAAAGACTTTTAAATAAACAAACTCTATATTTCTAGGTAGTTACTTTAAAGTCAGCAATGAGGCAGACTTCCAGAACAGGCAATTTGAAAGCATTGTAGGCATCATTTCATTGTGTGGTTTTGTTTTTTAAATCCAGTGCAAAAACCTCCAAAACAAACAACACACATGGAATAAAAACAAGTATTTGTTTGGGGGTTTTGCTTCTGTCAGTAAAAACATGGCCAGTTGATGAAGACTGGTCAGACAAGACCACTATTTTTATAGCACTTTTCTGTTTTTCAGTGGAAGCAGAAGAAAAATCCTGTCCTACAAACAACTCGTTTCTTTCTCAAGGCATTTCATTTCTTTTAATCTCCTCTTCCCCTACTGTGTAAGGTAGCATTAAAGAAAGTACTCCTGTCATGAAGTTTTTGTTCACGCATGTGGTAGTTCAGAAAATGCCTGACCTTAACATGAATATGTGATGGGAGACACTGGTATGTGTGGTGTGGGGGATGAATAGCATGCAGGGAACGGATAGAATGGCCAGAAGATTACAACTGATGTAGCTGTTGATGCCACATCTTTCAAAGCAGCTGTAAAACATAAGTAGACAAAGATCTGTGCATATTTTCTAACACTATTGAATGCTATTACTTTTCTATTTCAATGCTGTGGAGTCAGCAGCAGTAATAAGTACATTTGTCCTGTCAGCAAATATTAAATCAGGGTTTTTTACCTCTAAAGAGAGAGGAAAAAGCTTTCCACCTGTTTAACATTTCCCTTCCACATTTTTGTATCACTGCATGTAAGAACTTCTCCAGCGGAGAGCCAGAACAAAAGTGTCACATCTTTGGTACAATCTCAAAGTAGCGTTTCAGTAGGAACAAACTGATGTTTGAACCTTTGTCAGCCTTTTGTAAAGGGGTGACTGGCCCCTTGTCTCATAGCAAATAAATTATAGATGCAAGTGAATAGCTCAATGAATAATTTACCTGAATGAATCCTACTTTTTTACTGTGGATTCCTTGATTTTGCTCAGCATGAAGGTGTTGAGTCCCACAGCAGGGATTTCTGTCTGAGCCTGGCTTACTGGAGCTCATTTTGGTAGAGGACCCTATGGTGCTGCTCCTGTCAGCTGACGGGTGCTCCTGACTTGCACATGCAAACTTAAAATTCTGGTTTAGACAACCGCCTGAGCAAAGATCTGTGTTAATAATGCTGCTGATCACTGTAGCAGAGGGAGCACACTGGAAAGGAAACAGAAAAAAAACCTCCAAAGCATTTTAACAAATAACTAAGAGTGATTTACTTTTCCATGGCAGCACCACTTGAACAAGTATTTCCTAAATTATCATGAAGAATGATAGAAACAAGCTACTCTTTCTGTGTCTAATTCACAGTAAGCAAGTCAGCCCCAAGGTAACAGGGTGACAGCTAAGACTCTTCTGCTTTTTTCGTTCTCTGTAAAATAATAGAAGTCTCACTGAAATCAGTGAATTCATTGAGGATGAGTCCCAGTGACAAAACCATTCCATTGATCAAATGTTACTCCAAGAAAGCCTTTACTTAGCCTCAAATAGGTTACTCACCTCTAAACTACCTGATTCCTCTGAAATACCTGCCTTCATGCAGGTATAATAAGTGATGAATAATAGATGGAAGACATCTTATGGCAGATTACTGTCAAATGGTGGAATATGGAGGAAAAGCACTGGGCTAGTGCTGATTTGACCTTTGGTGTCCACATGACTGACTTGGGCCCAAAAACAGTAAAGCTGCATTAACATGGTGCTGCTTCTGTCTTACTTGCTTTTACCTCTCGGTAGAGCTCATGACCTTAAGTGCAGGCTGGGACTGGAGCAGTAACACTGCTACTAACTTAGTACTAGTGTGGCTGAATCTAGCTCCTCAATGCATAGGTGCACAGCATAGATGCCCCCTAGATTGAATTTGTAAAATTCAGTCGTAGAAATGGAGCCTACCACACCATCTTTTTCTTCATGAGATAAAATTCTGGAAACACATACTTAATTACTGTCCAGTTCGCATCACAGCTCTTCAGCCTGCAAAGACATGGGAGAGAAGGTTTTCCTTGTACAAAGCCTAGACCAGGCTTTGAGATGGGATTTCAGTCCTGGTTTGTGTCTGGTGCTGTCTGTTTGTCCTTTTGTATCCATTCCCATTGGGTGAAACAGAGCCAAAGCCACCCTGCTACTCATAGAAAGTTCAAGATAAAGCCCAGGGAACCCTGAGACTCATTCCTATGCCACGGAGGTAGCTAGAAATCAATAGGAACAGAAACAAAAAGTCAAAACAAATATCCAGTTCTTCACGCAGCCACTTCACTAGGTAGCCAGGAGATAGAGAGGATGAGTTTCAGCTTAGTACTGTACTTCTAACTTCAAAACCAAATTAGTCAGTTGGAACATAGGAGCAGAAGTTCTAGGTTCTGATTTTGCCTCTGGTATTACACATTGTTTCTGTGCTTTGGTTTCTGTGGAATCCACCACTGGACCAGTTCCTAGCAATTTAACAAGAAAACATGATTCTTGTGACTGCAAACTGTGTGTGAGAAGTTCCCTCTTGCCAAGGATCGGTACCACTCACATGTACCTCCGGGATGGGGGCGCATGACTTGAATGGCCCAGGGTTCCTGGGAGGTTCTTTGAGCAGTGATGAACTTCATTGTCTGTAAATACCCGTTTTGTATTAACATATTTGTTTTATTTTTTTATTTGAATTTTTTTTACTCTGTTAAGTGAATGTAACATGCAGCTGCACACTTTAAAACAATCCTTGTTTTTACAAAGGTATGCTAATAGAAGTGGAAGTTAATTTAACACTTAATATGTTGATGTTCATGATTTGTGTGATTGAAAAAGGCCATAATTATACATAAATGTCAATTTTACCCACGTCATTAATTTATGTCTAATAAAACTGAACAGCTAATCGATGAAATTCATTCTTCCCACTTCAGCATCTATTAAACAGCACAGCTGTTGTGCACACTGCACAGCACCGCACTTGACACCTACACACCTCTCCAGAGGACTGAAAGGGACCTTTATTTCCTGCAAGCACAAGTGTCCGTAGAAGGAGGTGCAATTTTTTTATCATCATATAACAGAGGTAAAGATGTAACAGCCACAGGTATGCTCATTTCAATCTGGGCTTGCACAGCATATTGTAGTGATCCATTACTGTTTTGACTCAGACATAGATTCCATGCTACAAAGTGACTGGGACAGAGGAACATACTGTGCTGTTGTTTTGTTCTGTTTGCAGCATTAGGATTTC